TTAAAATTCTTTGTAACTGACGTTGTTTATTTAAACTTGACACTTTTTTTATATCGAAATTTTATATTATGCAATTTATATTATATTAATATTATATATATATATATATATAATTTTGTAACGAACAACAATCAAATCTGTTTCAGACAAGTCTACTATACGCCTTTATCTTCTTTCCATTTATATTCAATTCCGGTGTTGACTCTGAAGGAGAACATGACAAATATCGATCAATATGTGAAAGAACTTGGACGGAAGAATTCGCAGACAGATGGCATGGCAATGTCGTCTACTGGCGTGCTTTACTTCGGTCTATTGGCTGACGATGCCATCGCTATGTGGGATACCAAGAATATAGCATCCTTTACCGTCGGTCAACGAATTATTTCGCGCGATCACGTACTGACACAGTGGCCCGATAGTTTCGCCTTTGACGAAGACGGCAATTTTTGGTGCGTCACCAATATGCTGCAAAACTTCTTAAATAATCGCGTTGACATTAACGTACCCAACTATCGACTCATTCGATCACGCGTAGGCTTTAAGAGTTATCAATATTACGAGAACGGTACAGCACCCGAATTAGCAGATATCACCGCCGGCGCTGATTCTGTCAGACTTGTATTTGTCGTACTACTGCCTACCATTTTGATACTTATCGCGAAATAACCACTTTGTGCAAAACTTCTGTTAAAGGTATGTACATTACGTACACGAAGAAACAATTTGCGAATCCACGTTAAAACATTCGATCATATTAACTCGTGTTATTTTTTCTCACGACAATCTGACATGAAACAAACACTGTGAGAAAGATACAGTTTTTCACACAAAAATTTGTGAATATTTCCTTTCATATTAGTGTCAAAATAAAAAATTTTTACATAGTTGAAAGATCTCATTAGATAATTCTCATATTATCATCCAATATAAACAAGCAACATATTAAACATATACTCCGTGATAAAATTATAAAACCACTGTTAATTTTAATTTTTCTGCTGTATTAACGAAAATTTTAAATGCAACCAATTTACTACGTTATTCAATATTCTAAGAAACCTTTACATTTAACCTTTAAACACAAAATTGTTATAAATACAATTATAGAAAATAAAAGTAATTTTTGGTATTGTGACAAAATTATAAAATCACTTTAAAAAATAACATTTATTATCAGTAAAAGAAATACAGAACATAACTAATAATTAATTTGAGAACTATTTTTATGAATGAACTTAATTTTATTTTTCATAGATTCCACTAATTTATTAAGAGTCTTTTGATTAAGTTCTTGCCATTCATTTATAAGTGCGGTTTTTAATTGTTGAACAGTCTCATATTGTTTGCCATTGAGATAAACGCGCCGTACTAATAAAGCCCAAACATTTTCCGTCTGATTACAATCCGGTGATCGTGCCGGCCAATCTATTGATTCTACGCTGATTAAACCAGGTCTTAGTGGTTTTACTTCTGTGTACTGCCGCATTATTTTGTTGATCAATCATCAAAGGAATGAGATGAAATAGTTTTAAGAATGGCAACAAATTATCTTCTAAAACTTTAATATGTTCGGTACTGTCCATCTTCGATGATACGAACGTAAGAGTTAATTTTCCAACCGCTAAAAATGCATCCCATATTATACAAGTACCGCCACCAAAATTGCGTTTGAAAAAAATTGTGGTTCTTTCCTTAAATCTCTCCAATAAAAGTTGTAGCTGTCAGGATCATCTAAACAAAATTTCTTGTCATCGCTAAAGATTACCTGATAAAAGTAGAATTAATGAATAAGTTTTGCTTTTTGAAAAAATGATGCTTTATGAATGGTTCTCAAGATTGTTCGAGCTAAGACGTCAAGCGAACATTCCGCTCTTATGTGAACAGCCGACTCGGTTGAATTGGATGCTTTACTAATAATTTATCTTTTGTCTCTTAATGAAAGCTTTGACTTCCAGTACTCTTTTTCGTACCATATTGCTTAAAATTTTTTAAATAATTGAACATTCCGTTATAAGATCGACCTAGAGCCCAAGAAATAGATCTAATACTGTTTTCCGCGCGACGCATTTCATCACTTCTACCTTTTTTTATATTAATTAAGCCTCCTTACACGTGCTATGCTTAGAAAATAATAAATAGAACACATAGTACAAGATAAATTTTAAAGTTTTATTTTAAATGTTTTTATAATTTTGTCACAGTATCAAAATCGATTTTGCTTGTGATTGTATTTGTTGCATATTCTTCTTAAAACATGGAGCACAGCAACGTTTTGAACATTGAACTACCACTGAATCCAACTGATGCAGTTAAAATGTTTCAATATAATGAAATTCTCTAAGTAGGGAATGGTTGTATAATTTTGTCACGGAGTCTATAGTGATACACATCTATATGTTATAGTAACATCTAAACGTTATAGTAACATATTGAAACTATTAATATACGAAACATTAAAAAAGAATTAAAGTTGGGACTGGATTTGATATTCAATAAAGTAGTGAATTAATTTCTTTTTCTTTTAACAGAATTTAGATTGAATGTGTTAAAGTGTCTTTATAAAATACCTGTTAAATATTGTTATTTATTACAAGATTTCTGTAACATGACTTTCAACTCTCTTTTCTTAGTTTTAAGATTTCTCAAATAATTTAATATTAAATTTTTTAACGAACTAATAGGTTTTTTTTAATTGGTCGCGTTAAAGTTGAAAATAGTTTTTTCCAAATAAAAAAATTTAATGCTAAATATGGAAAAACATTATTCATAATACTTGATAATAATTAATAATTGATAATCGAGATTGAATAACTTTATGTTAGGTAACAGCATAAAAGTATATCTTATAACCATTTAAATTATATTAAAAATTTTTTATTTTGACAATGATATGAAAATAATCACCTACTGTCACGTGCGAAACGTGACGTAATACATTAATAAACTAAAATAGACAACTGTCTTCCTACTAAGACTTTATTCGGCGCAGAGCAAATATCACGAGTCGAAGATGATTTGCTTCGAGAGACAACTGAGAACTGGTTTTTTAGTTCAAGAGGAATCTTCTCTCACAAAAGAAATAGATAGACTTTTCATTGAAATAATAATAAGTAATAACGTGGCGTTCTAATATTGGACGTAGTGATTGGCGCGATTTAGAAGACAGAAAAACTGATATTTGATGCAAAGATTCATTTGGATACGACTAACTTTGTAGCTTATTGTAGTTCACGAAAGTTAAGAGACGATAAGGGTAAATGAGTCAGGGGGAAGAGTTTAGACAAATAACGTGATTGAAATTTCTTAGGGTATTAGTTTATTGCATTATTGGTATGAAAAAAATGTAAAAAATTTTAAAATAGAAATCATAAATACTTAAAATATGAGTTACAGCACATAATACCACACGCTCTTATGTGGCAGATTGAAATTCATAGAAAAATATAAGCATGATTGAATTTCTCTATTCTAAATTCCTTCTGTAAATTCCTAGAAGAATCAGAACACAATAGCTTACTACTACTAACTACAATAGAAACCGACATAATAGCTTACAAGATGGAAGTCATAAATGTATAGCGTAAATGTAACGTCGAATATACATATATTATATTATTGAAATTTTTATGATATACGTCAAAGCTTGTGCACTATCTACGTTTAAGACTTACGTTTTGCTATTACGTCGCTTTGTGCTTTGATTGTAATTGTAAGTTTGCGTCTGTTTTAAATTATCCCTCTCTCCTCTACACACACGCAACACACACGCAAATATGTGCGCGTGCGCGCGTGTACGTACATAGGACAGCTAAGTCTATCGAGACAGAGAGAGATGTCATATTTAGTGCTCCAATTATTGAACATTTTTGTGTATGTAAATTTTGTGGATGTTACATTACACAAAAATTTTCCATAATTGGAGCACTATTGCAGCAGCATATTCCTGAGATCAAATGAAGTAAAAATGTCCTGTATTACTTTTCCCTCTGACAAACAGTTATCGAGACATCATAAGCTAAATATTGAAAAAGTTATATATTTTCTCTTGAATATCTCAAAAAGTATTAGGCAAATAAAAAAATGTTTCAGACAAAAGTTGTTCATATTAATTAGTAGAATAAGATAGTATAATAAACAATAGGGGGTTTCAATAAACAAATTGAAGGTGACCTTCACGTGACCTTCAAATGATTATCCAAGGTCAAGTCAGTGGCATCGCCTTATGTCCCTAAACCAAATAACTTTTGTTTGAAACATTTTTCCGCATTTTTCAGATTTTTTGAGATATTTGCGTGGATCATTTAAAATGAGACACCCTGTATATACATAAAGAAAAAAATAATATATTCTGAATACTTTTATAGTACATTTTCTTTTTATTGTAAATTATTTATTTCTTCTTCTATGAACAATACCAATTCAGCTGATTACAAAAGAGTAAGTTGGCAGTCTCATTCGGTCATTTTAAAAGTTGAAAAAACTTTGTCAGATCATCTTATTGTTAATTATAAAAACTAAATTTAGGAAATACTTTGAAAACTAGAAAGATTATTATTAGCCAAACTAAAAAATGTTTTGAGAAATAAATGGAAAAGTAAGTACTTTAAATTAGTATTCATATTTTTTTTGAAAAAGAATTGCTGTTGTGTTTATATTTAAATTATTATATCTAAATTATTGTAAATTAGTGACTATTCACTGTTTTCAGTGATAATCTACTGATTGACTTTTAGAGAATGTAGTTTCCATCTTTTTTTTCGCTTTATTAATTTTTTCTTCTAATCGCGAATGTGTAACCGGTCATTGCGACGTAAGTCTAGACGCGGTGCGGCGAGACGCGGGAGCGGCGACGTAAGCTCGCGGACAACGGCGCGCTGTTCCTTCCCCTCCCTCGCCTTGCGCCGTATTTTTCTATGTTCATGTAACATACATACGTATACACAAATATTTTTATATCGAATTTCATTTTCATTAAAAAAAGGTTGAGAAAATTGTTATAGCTCGGAGCGAGGTCAAGCGTTACGCGTTGCTCGTGCGTAGCCGTTGCCGTGTGTCATAAACAACTCCCCGCGCGCCTAGCAACGCCAATCGTGGGACGGTCGCATCTCGTCGCGAGCTGAATTGGACGGCGGACCGGGCTAAGACAGCGATTTTTAATAATTAATAACTCGTTAATTTTTACGAAAATTGCAAAATGGTAGAGGACTTTTCGACTTGTCAGTCTAGTACGCTCTATACGAAAATAAGAGGTGAGGCGGGTATTACGTAACACCCTGTATAACTGTTCATAGAATCGATACATAGTAATATATAGTTCGAGACTTTTATGCATTTCAGAATTAATAAAAAAAAAGTCTTATAATTAATCTCATTGTATACAATATGTGTGGTATCCCTAAAAAATGACTTCATGCCATGCTTAATTCGCTTATCATTAGTGTTACGCCATCTTTGAAGATATAATAAAATCTGTAGAATATTTGCTGCATATTTTATCAACAAATATATATTTAATATAAATTTTAGCAATAATATAAATAAATATAAAAAGCTTGATAATAAAATATGACCGAAATCAAGCAGTCTTTGATATATTCACTATATGTACATATAGTACAGTTTCATATGGTAAAGATAGTACAAAATCTGCATATCAGGTAATATTGGCAGCTCGGCTAGCAAAATACAAACTTAATCCCAGTATACTCCAAATAACAGTTATATAACATCAATATTATAATTCCCTACTCAATATAAATGTAATATAACACACATATTATATTATATTTACATTGTTGAGTAAGAAATTATAATATTAATGTTATGTAGCTATTACTTGGTGTATACTGAGATGTAAACACCAGTTGATGTCAATTTACTTAGCAATTTCTCATCAAATTTGTTACCAATCTGCTAGTATACTACAAACAGTTACTCACTAAAGAAGAGCCAATTTCCTTAAGCTGACTTCTCCTGCGCTGTTTTTCCAACTACTCACAATTTCTATATGTAGAGTCAGCTGAATATTTGAGAAACAGATATGATACCTTATGTGTTTTACTTATGTTTTTATGTTATTAATTTAATGCATACCAACATTTTTACCTAGCGCATGCGCCATTAGAATAGAAATTGGGGTTGACAAGAAAATTTAGAATAGAGAAAATGCTTGAAAATATAATAAATTTTAAATTTAAATGTATTGTAATGAATAGTATCTTGAACAGCTGAAAAAATTATTTATATTAAAATAATATTTAAAATCGTTTCCAGATCTTTCTACAATTAAATAATTATTTTATTGAAAGAAAAATTTTTTATATATAATTTTCTTACCGACTTTTGATGATTGCTACATGATTTCTGTGATTTGTTTGTATAATAACTTCGTCTTAATCTAACTTCTGATCAAACCGTGTCCAAACATCGTAATTTCGATGATCAAAAAGATATGAATTTGCAAATGTGCTAGAAAACTGAGTACATAGTTTTATTTTGATTACACAACTGTCAACTGTGTATCATAAGATAGGTATCTGTATATTGAGCGAATGATACAGATGAATATGACAGACAAATGTGAATGCTCAGTTGTTCGCATTTGTGTTTGTTATTGGTATATTTTTGTTCATCTTGAACATTTACATTCAGTTAAATTTGCATTTATTAATGGGGTAACGTAAAAACGCCGGATGATGCAATAATACTGCAAGTTTTATTACAATTGCCAGCTTAACGAAAAAAAAGGAAAGACAGATGATAATGTAAATACGAGTATAGTTGATATAGTTGATAATATCACGAATGGATTCAAAAGCGGATGCATTACATTTCCATCAATTTTGTGCACAAATTTTTTTTGATGTAGATAACATTTTACGAACAAATCAGTCCAAACACGAATCGAACACTAATGAGCACTGACGAATGTTCTGTTCGCATTAACAATATGAAAACATATTCGAATACAGAAAATTCGCATTCTCTGTTTATTCGTTCCCTCTACACTACCCACTTATGCAGCATTAAGTATCTATGAAATATTTATCGTAGAAAAGTAGAACTAATGAAAATGTAAATGAAAAAAATGTTATAAAGTTATTTATAATATATTAATATATGTATATATATAAGATTTCAATCAATATTTTTAACGTCTTCTAGACTCAACCCTGAAACAAATTTTTACAACTTATTTAATTTATGTTAAATCTCTATGTATCTATGTGTATAAAATGTTTATTAATATTATTATTATTATTAAAGTTACAAAACGATTATTATATTATTGTTATTCTAATATCATTGTGATTATTATTATTAATGGAAACTCAATACAAGGAAAATTCCAAGTAAAGTATTTATTTCATAACATGCTGTCCTTGTTTTATTCTATCCTAGTCAGTAAATAAATACATTGTCGGATGCATCGCCATACTGCTCACTGATGGAATGTTTCAAGCTCTCTTATCAAATGAGTCATGCCTTGTTTTTCTCTCCGGGAGATTCAATTCATTACATTGTAAATAAGGCCGCGTGCGTTACCAGCGTTAATAAGCGACACTTTCCTCAGAACAAGAACTTTGTCCGAGATCTCTGCCGCCGAATCTGGCTAATGAACGCATTGTGTGAGTCTCTCGGTTGAATCTAAATGTAGACGCAGCCTATGTTTCCAGTTTTATAAATTCATTTCCTGAATGGTGGTGGTTCAGGCCTATGCAAGAGCAGTCTCACTGACATACGTGCATGCGTACGGAGTGCGTATACGTATATTTTCGCATGAAAGTGGAACAGTGCACACACTGCGAGGACAATTGTGAGAAGCCTTCTCTTCAGTTCTTTCAATTCCCTTTTACGGCGTACACTAGTCGTGTAAAAATAGACAAGTGCGATCGACATAGATACGTAGAAACACTTTTTACAACTGACGTTATCCATTTCCGTAACTATGATTAACAAGTCTTAGCACGTGCGAGTTGTAATGAAGAAATGAACTAAGAAACTAAGAAATTTGATCCACCTTCTACTGTATACTGCGATAAAATTCGTTCCAAAATAAATTTCGGAAACACTAATGCTCTCTGCTGGGTATATTTTTCTTACAATATTTTATTAAATAATATATACATTTACGAAAGAACCCGCGATTCTTTTTCGTATAAATATATAATATAATATAATATATAATATAATACATTATATAATTATATATGAAATGTATGTATATTTTTTCTTTGTCTTGAAATCTTTGCCTGTATCACAGGCGAATTTAGAGAGAGAGCGTAGGGGGCGCCCTTTAACCACCTCACTAAGAACAAAAAATTTACATATAATAAAATGGG